CGTTTACATTTTAGTAAAACCAGCGGTCCTGAGAAGTTATCTCCCATCGTACCCATAGAACGCGTGGACTTTTGGCAACTGCTTTTGCGTCTGTATACACAAGGCGTATGCGGCGACACAAACTCGCTGACTGCTGGTTTAGAATCAGTATCACATTGGAGCCGAAAAAATCTCCAATAAATGTCTAACTATGGCTTGCACGCCTTTGCCTTGAATGTCCTTGCTAACATCCACCTTTAAAGGATATTTTTCCAAACTTCCTCCATTGGCACCCTTCACTACTCATATCGCAACAACAACGGAGAAAGAATGCTTGGCCATCGTGTGGGCGTTAGAGAAGTGGAGAAATTACTTACTGGCGAATGAATTCCGGATCGTCACTGACCACAAACCGCTCTCGTGGTTGATGACGGCGAAAGACCCGCGGGGACGGCTTGCGCGATGGGCCTACCGATTGCAGGAATTCAACTTCACCATTGAGCACGTGGATGGAACGCAGAACGTATTGCCAGATATGTTGTCACGCCCGTGTTTGGACGATATCATGCCAGACAATGCCATACCGGTACGTGCGATCGCGATGGGGGAGAGGAACCTGCTGGGAGATCAAAGGACAGATGAATTCGTGAAGATGTTGTGCTCTCACTTACAGACTGGCACCAAACCGGAGGCCACATCGGAAGAGGTGGAGGAACTCCTCAAGATCTGGGGCAAGCTGAAGGTCGAAAACGATAACGTGGTGGTGGCGATAGACGGACGGAAAGTGCCTTTTGTTCCACCAAATCAGCAAGAACGTGTGATGCGTATAACTCATGATGGCGCCCATATGGGATTCGAGCGGGTCTTTGAATTGCTGCGGAGGCGAGTGTTTTGGCCAACCATGAGGAAGAATGTCGCGGCATACATTAGGGGGTGCCCAAACTGCCAAACGAGTCGGGAGATGGAGTCCCCGACACCGCCGATGCGATCGATGGAGGTTGGTGAGCCACTGCAGTGTTGGGGACTGGACGTCTTTGGACCCTTACCAGTGAGTCGAACAGGAAACAGATACATTCTAGTGATGATTGACCACTTCACTCGGTGGGTGGAAGCCATACCAATCAAGGACCAAACAGGCGAGACAGTGTCGCAAGTATTCGAGTTCAATATACCCACAAGGTATGGAGTCCCCCAGTGTGTTTTAACCGACCAAGGACCATGTTTCGAGTCCAGAGCGTTTCAGGCCGTATTGCAGAAGTGGAACATCCAGAGACGACGCACGTCACCGTATCATCCACAGAACAACGGGTTGACTGAACGTTTCAATCGGACATTGAAGACGTGGATAAACTGCACGAAGTTGGCATGGGAAGATGCTTTGCCTCAGGTTCTGATCGCGTATCGGACCAGCGTGCAATCAACCACCAAGGTCGCGCCATTCGAATTACTGTTCGGCAGAGAACCACGGATTGCGCTCGATACTTGCCTACCGAACCAGGGTGAGCGGAAACATCCAGCTGGGCATCAAGAGCGACTGCGAGGGAAAGCTAGAAGCGAAACTAAAGCTCGACAAGCGCGGAGTAAGCGAAATTACGACGCCAGGCATGAAGCTCACAAGTGGAGGCCATTCAGGATTGGAGAACGAGTCAAGTTACGGAACAACGATCGGCCGGATCATGACGGGCCGGGCGCAAGCAAGTTCAGGGAACGCTGGAAAGGCCCCTACACCATTATCGACCAGAAAGCGGGCAACTTCTTAATTGACTGCGGAGGGATGAAACGTTGGGTGAATGCTGCTCTCCTGCGACCATGGTACGAGAGGAAGAAAGGTCCTCGAGGAGGGGCGGGTGTAGAGGGGTCGCTTCCAAGAATGCCTCGGAAGAGCTCTTCGGAGCTAGCTGAGAGCGGATCGAGAAGGACGGCTAGCGACGAGCCTGGGCCCGGAACTACGGAGCGGGAATATATGGACAGCACAATAAATCAGACAAATACGCCGCTAGCGCAGCCCACAGGACCGAGGCCGAGCCGATTGACACGGCCCAGAACAAGCAAGTCGAGAGCTCTCGAACGACTCCTGGCCGATCCAAATCGGGTGCAGAGAAGCGAAGATCGAGGCGAAAACAGGAAGGCGGGACGTCCAAGTCAAAGCTCCCGAAGCGAAAGGACTGGCTCGCCTCTAACATCCGTACCTGTGTTGCGTTGTGGGACGGAAATCTAGTCAATATTCGATGGCGCGCGCGAGACCCTCATGTGCCCATTTTCGGTGTGCAATAAGCGTCTACCACACTGCCTTGTCGTTCTCGCTAAAGAGGTTTAGTGGTAGTAGCAGTAGTATTGTTTTTAATGTCTTAAATATTGCCTTGAAACTAGCCAAATGGAAAGAGAAGCAGTTGATGGCTGAAGCTGAGGTCGAGCGTTATAGGTGCTTGTTATTGGGGAAGTCCAAGCCCGGTAACAGTTTATCCGAGCAGTTTGATGATACAAGAGATTGGTGTGAAAGACGTACCTCGGTTGTTGAAGCATGTCAGATCTCCCCACGCGAGCACGAACGCTTATTCTGGGCTTCTGAACAGCTTATTGCGGATCGTTGTCAACTGAACCTCCCAAAAGTAGAACTCGAATATTTTCATGGCAATCCTACCACGTATTGGAAGTTTATGTAACAGTTAGAATACTTTGCTGAGAAACGTGTGCGAGACAGTGGTCAGCGTCTTTTGCACTTGATGTACTATTGTCGTAATTGAGCGAAAGAAGCCATCAGTCAGTGTATCATGTTGCCACCAGACCGGGCTTATGTCAGGGCTAAAACGATCCTTCATGATTTATTTAGTCAAAGTCACGTGGTTGCTAGATCACTTATTGATGGGTTGCTGAAAAAACTAAAACCACTCGCTCATGCTGATGATGCTGTTTTCCGTCTCTCCCGGAAAATGGCCACATAGCGTTGAGTCAGATGGGGTTCCTCGCTGACCTCGACTCGATTGCAACCATCGTGAGCCGTACGCGTTTTGCCAGCAAGTATGAAGACACGGTGGGCGCGAACAGCTGATAATATCCTACAGGAAAGGTGCGAAATCAGGCTCAAGGACTTTAGCGAATTTGTCTCTTCTGAAGCTGGTATTATGCGTAGCAGGTTTGGCTAGACTGTATCGATGACTGAGAGGAGACCGTCTAATTTCCGATGTCCACTTATTCCTATACGTAAAAGGAATGAGGCCATGATCAATCACTACACCAAGTCCAAGGCGACATTGGATGGACCCTGTTTAATTTGTGACGGTCGACATGGCACTGCTCCGTGCAGTGAGCTTTTGGCTTGCGGAGTACCCGCTAGATAGTAACCAATGAAACAAAGGAAAGGAGGTTACAAGTGCCTCGATTGTGGCCAATTGGCTGCTTCTTGCATGTTGAACGATAGATGTGGGCAGTCAGGTTGCAGAGGCCGTCATCACCCACTGCTGCACCTAGAACGCAACCAAAGGTGAACAGCTGCTGTACTACCTCAGGTTCACAACAACGCGTCCAACTGTGCATCGTACCCGAATGCTTACTTGGCCCTCTAGGATCAAGTGAGACGTATGCATTGTCAGAAGCCGGGTCAGATACCACCTTGGCGTAGGAAGGTTTTCTACGCGAGGTTGGACTAACGCCCACACTTGAGTCGTCAAAGATCCGAAAGCTGACCGGAACGACATCGGTTGAATCAAGCTATGTCGGCTTGTGTTGGACCTCATTGAGCGGTTATGCTGCAATTCATGTTCCTCGGACCTACTGCCATAAGGAGTTGAATTTGCAACCTGTCAAGACGTCTACTCGAACGATGGCTCGTCGCTGGCTTCACTTAAAGAGTGTGCAATTAGGAAAGCTCTTAGATAAGCGTGTAAGAATATTGGTCGGAGCCGCCCAATTGGCAACTAGAGAAGCGCATAGTCGGAAGGAACCAACCGTTTGCTGCGAGACGCCTATTTGGATGGACATTGATTGGACTAGTAGAATCGCGAAGAGATTCATTTGTCTCGGTCAATCATGGTCGGGGTGATGCATAATCCGTTGAGGGTCAACTTAGACCGCTATATGATAGGGTTATCCAGCGTTGGTACTGAAGATCGCGCGCGAAACGAGGGTCTACATGTAAGGATTGTGGCTCGATCCTTTGTTGTTTACTTTCTCCCGCCGGTCAGTTGAACATTGAGCTTGTTACACCCGTCGTCCGTGATGCCTTTGCGGATGCCACACGCATTACCAAAATTTGTTCTGTTCTGCTTGGCGCTGCTTCTAATTTAGAAATCTTAGCGGGAAAATAAAGTCAAGCAATGCGAAATTCCTGGAAGGAATTTGGTGGGGGAGTGTAACGTACAAATTAACTTGTTTAACCTATCTGGAGATTTCCCATACTGACTGACCCCAAAACGACCAATTAATACCCCTTGATTGCTTATTGAACTTTTCATGATAAAACCTCATTTGCTTTGTTTCTCGTTCAAATTTGGACCTTGTTTAACCACAAGAATTTACCCGTTTTGCATCGCTCAATGTTTAAGCTTGCTACTCCCGCGTTCCATGTGTACTGCTCCTTGGGTGATCGATTGATCACTTCGCTTCACACCCCACTGACATTAGAACCGCTTCGATTCATTGTGCTTATTTGTTGATTATTGCTGTTAACGGCACGTTGCATTTGAGAGCCGAATTATTGTACATATTTGGTCTGGAAATTGTTTGAGGTTTGTTATTAAATTGTTGTCTAACCAGTTGTTAATAGCACTTTAAGCTCTTGCGGCTTTGACTTTTGGATTAAGGCGGCTGCGTTAGGATTTGCTCAGGTTCCAAGACTGATTTGTCGGTAATACATACATATATATATATATATGTTTATATATATATTACCAAAGACGAAATATTTGTTCCATAGGTTTCTCACTTTACATACGTAGTTCAACCTAACCAACCTACGGGATTAGCTGGGTTTCTGCCTTTAACCCATCGCTGCAAACATTTCCTAGAACAAAAACATCAACACACACAACTCAAATGGATTTATGATAAGGGTAAGATAATATTATGTACAAATACAAAACGCATCAATTGTGTCAAATTATAGGTCTGGTGTGAGGCAAATACAAAGTGAGCGGGAGTGTTCCTCAGGGGACCGTGGGGTCAACTATCCACCATTTGCCGATGTGTATCTGGAAAGAAGAGTGAAGTACAGGTAAATGTCGCATTGCCGCTTGTATCCATTCCCATTGAGAAACCGAAGTACTCATGAACAGCATTCAAAGCCTAACTCATATATTGCAGGCCACAGCGACAGTATGAGGTGACTAGTAGATGTCTCACCTGAGTTACTTTTATATAAGCAATTGTGTTGGGATTCGAAACTGAGTGCTCAATTGCAACAACATCAAAAAAGGCATCAGAAGTAAGCCGATACGCAGTACCGACGCGTCGTTGCCCCGGAACCACCCCCAGTCGCACGTGGGTTAAGGAAACTGCGATGGGCGTCCCGTCCACTGGGCAAGCTCGAACTCGCGACCTCAGCATGACAAGACAACCTTGTGATCCTTAAAGCTACGAGCCAGTTGTCACGTAGCTGAAATAATAATACATGTTATAATGGCTTTTTATAGTAATAATACTTTTTATAATAAGAAAATATGGGATAGTCTTGGTTGCGACGTGCGTTTGGCCTCTGGTCCAAAGTGAGTGCATTGCGAACTTGTACTAACGAAAAGTTTAGTGCCGATACAAATAACGTTCAATCAGATGCACGGTTGGATGTTATTTCTGCTCGATTTGAGCACTGATTGTTGACCAGCGTGTAGGCTGGGATGGGAGGAGTGGACAGCAAGCTGCAAGCTTGTTGATGTGGTTGCAGTCACTGAAACCCGGTACACTCAGAGTAATCCAATCAGTGCGAGGATTATTTGTGTATGGTTGGCGGCATCCGGTTTCGGATTTGCCTGTCACTGTGGCAAGCCACAGGAGGCCTGCGCCTACAGAGGGGCCATGGATGGCTTGCGCTGGACCACCCACAGCTCCATCCACACACCCCATATCCAGTGTAAACCCGAAGGAATAAGACCGGGAGGCATGCGGATGGGAGCCACATTTCATCAACGGGGCCGACCCACAATTCTTCACAGGCAAACCTAAGCACGCTGTGTTTGGGAATCAAGAGCACACAAGGCGGTGGCTGGACCGTAGTCCGCTCCACACTGAGCGCATGGAACCACTCTTGTAGCCTAGCACGACCACAATGACCGTGCACCCCGTCCCCTCCAGCAACGACCAACTGTCTCCTGGAACCAGATGGACGAGGTAGTGGGTAATAGGCAGGTAGGCACCTTGTCAACATGCACATCAAGCGCAGACACACCTGGGAGGTCAAACAACTGCCACTCATTCGAAATACCGATATCGTATAAAGTAAACGCATATGACGACATAAATACTCGCTAAATAAGCATATGGAAGAAAGTGGTTAAATGTGGATACGCGATAAGTACAAAATGTCCGAAAGTTATTTAAAAAATACGACGCGATAAAATTATACAAGTTTACCACAATTTGCATGAGCGACGTGGGTAAGTTGGGAGAAGATTATCAAGTGCGCAGAACCATAAAAATAAAAGGTAATGGAATTTATCCACATTGAAAAGACCAAGATTAAGTGGAAGTTGGTTTAACCCAACTGCGATGAAGAAGCATCATAAATGCGACATCAGCCTCAGTGGTTATAACAGGCTGTTGTGGCGCTTTTGCTTTTTAAGAGCCAAAATGAGAATTGGGAAGCCCGCTTCTCCATAGGAGCATTACATAAGCAAGTAATCGCTGTTTTCAGAACAAGAGTCAGCGAACAAGCTTGTTATCGGTGGATCTCGACAGGCTGGTACACCACAACCGATACGAATAAAATGAGGTAAAATATCAGACGCATCAGTAATACTCCAGCACACCGTACCGGTGCTAAACTGCCAAGCCACCAATACCAGTCGCGCAAGGTCTCAGTATACCATGTCTTCAACACCTACGGCGACTCGAACTCGCGAAAAGAGGATTACATCGCAAATGCACAATCCTTTCGGTCACCGGCCGAGTCGGTTAAAAGCACTTACCTGTGTGTACTGCCGGCCATACTCAACGTAATTTCAGGATATGGGGTCAAGTAGGTGGCATATATAGGTTAGACATACGCTGATACATCCGTCAAGATCGCGGTAGTACAATCAATGGACCGCGCTGGATGTGGCGAGCCGATGTCTCTAACAAAAGACCATCAGAGCCTAGCGTGCGAAATAAAGACGCTGAGCGATTAGCTTCCTTTTACTGCACAATCAAAGAAGTGGTAAAAATGCTCATTGTTCGTGCAGCTTTCCAAACAAAAAGAAGCAAAAGATGTAAGTGAATTCGCAGCAAGTACCACTGGGAAACGAATACGCAGACACACAGTGATGCCAGTGATGTGCGGTGCGCTAAAAAACTGCGCTCCTTGAAACAACGTAAGCTATAGCATGCTGCGCCAGCAGTTGTTGGAGTAAGAGCTGGGTACCTGTCTCCAGTCTTCGCCCCCTATTTTGCCCTTAGTACTAATAAAATATTCCACTACATACACAGGGGTAGTGTAAATGCTTGAAATGTACACATCTAGGTCCATAAAGATTATTTTGACATGACTCGACTTGAAACACGCTAATCGAAACTTGAAAAATTATCTAGTACTCGGACGACTTAACCTGAGGGGGACATGCGACTTCGAACAGATACTGCACTGCACTTTGAGGGCGATCCAAACTAGCGTCAGGCTCGCTTATTTCATAAGACGTTGACACTTGATGTTATCTTTCCGAGTGATGTCAATGCTTCGCAGAACGAGATTACAGTTGGCAAGAAAGTACCTTAAAATATAACATTGCGAGAAATAGATGGTTATTAACAGAACTAATATATAAGCGGACGGATGGTCAGAGAATGACTGCATGCCAATTAGAATGAAATCAGTTAACCACATACAAGGTACCAGAGATGAATATATGGGACCCCAACGATATGCGAAACTCAGCCAATTCACTGCAGACAAGAGAAATGAAAACCTTCCTAGAGTAGTATTCAGTTTCATTGTGAAAAAATGCAATGTTGATTCAGATAAAACCATTGACATAACACAAGTGGCGCCTTCAGCTACACACTTACCCAAATGAACAGAAACGTTGTGCCTTTGCAAACGGCATTTTGTGGGAAACGATTTATCACAAAGGTCACATGTATAGGGGCGTTTTCCTGGATTGGGAAATAGTGAGTGAATAATCAGAGATGAACCACAAAGTGATGATGGTAGAGAATTTTACATAACTTATTAGAATGATGTGCCTATGTTGTGATGCACAATGGTCACAATGATGATGGAGGAATCGAAATGTGAAACCTCGACTACTAACTTCCAGTTATCTCGCAATGCGATCGAGCTAAATGAAAAATAGTGTGTGCGCAAGCCGCGAGCAACGACAACTTGGTGCGAGTTTAGCACACGACGTAAAGTGCCAACATTTTTCTTTGTAACAAGAAGTTCCCTTGTATAAATCTAAACAAAATATCAGAAGACATAAGCTGTGGGGACAAATACATCGGGCGCAATCACCGAAGTCTAGGCGTCAGGATCGATGAGCATATCCCTTAATCGTTGCGATGCGAATGGGATCTCAGACGGCGGAATCGGGTGAATCCAGAGGCAGGATAGCTTCGGCAATCACGAGGCATCTACTGAACACTGGCTACCAGGTCAACCCAAGTGACTCATTCACTGTCCTCATACGTAACCAATGGTCGCATATACTTAAGGTACTTGAAGTCATCGTAAACGATCGCGAGCGACCGCCTCTGTACTTACAGAAACAGTTGACAGTAACACTGAACTTGACGTGGTAGTGCCGCAGTAATAGTTGGCCATCAGCTAACCACCAAGCGACCGCATCCGATCTTGATTGTTTTCAAATTGTTAGTTGCCTTGTACGTGACTAAGGAGATAGACACAAAATGACCGAATCATCTCACAGCTTATGTCTTCTGATATTTCTGTTTAGATTTTGCTTTGTACCTATGATTCAAAATGTATAAGAAAGAACGAGGTCTTCATGGAATCATACCAGCATTCAGTAAAAAGCGTAACCGGTGCAACCGAGCAGAGGTAACCCAAATGCTGGCATGACCAACAGCAGAGCGCGTTCGGGTTGCGTCTAGTCAGTTACCTCATTCGTCTTTCAGATCATTCTGGGTACCTAGCATGAGTGCATCCATCGGTGGCAGTATATCAGTCCACAGCCTGTCAAAACGCGTGGAGCGTTGGGCCGAACACTGCAAGGCAATTTAACCAACCTGAGTTATCAGTTTCTTTTTCGGGAAATGAGCACACTTCTCCCTGAGCCGTCTTCTTGGATTCGCCTTCACGTGCAGAAGTCGAACGTGAGATCAGACTGTTGAAATTGTATAAGGCCGCAGAGGCAGAGAGAATTCCCCCAACCCTCTTCAAATTCGGGGGATTTGCTCTAATAGATGATTTACACGAGTTGCTAGTTAAACTTTGGGAGCAGGAGACTGTCCTGACAGACTGGAGCCACTCCGTCACTGTCCCAATTTTCAAGGGAAACTCCCGTTTGGAATGCGGGATCAGTCTGATTTCGATTGCCTCTAGATTGCTTACCTCTGTCATTCTCCACAGACTGACTGACACTCGTGAAATCCAGATTGGTGAAGAGCAAGCAAGATTTCGTTGAGGTCGGGGCTATATCGACCAAATCTTCACCTTGCCGCAATTGTTGGAGCACCGCCATGTTTATTGGCGACCCAGCGTTCTCGTGTTTCTTGACATAAAAGGTGCCTTCGACTCAGTCAATCGAGGTGCGCTTTGGAACTGTCTGCTGAGAAAAAGTTTGCCTGATGAATATGTAAACATTATCAAAGTGCTGTACGCGCATAGTTCGGGCAGAGTGATGGTTTATGGCAAACTGTCACCACCCTTCAGTATCACCAGCGATGTAAGACAAGGTTTGCCCGGTTCACCCTTCCACCTTAACTTCGTTATTGATGAAGTCATGGAAACAGCGTTTGCTGGACACGACCTAGAAAGTGTGGAGCTACTTCCTGGGAGTGTTTCCCTAAATCACACGGGACTACTAATGCATACTGCTGATGGCCGAAAACACCATGTGGATTCCGGACCAACGGGTAAGCAACATAACACACACCGTGGTGAAACGTGACAACTACTCACGTAACTACAGATCAGAGTTTGTGTTTCAAGCTGTCCGCACTAGACGCTGTCATCTCAGATGGTAACCGAAAACAGTAAAATACTGCTTCGTAAGCAGGGAGGATTTGCGTGAGAGGGGGCGATTTAGGCTTATACACAGCTCACGCGACACCGCTGGTAGTACTATATGTCGATATGCCACGGACGCCTTGTTTTGGAGAGACCCGATAACAAGGTGCCAACAACGCAGTACCATCCATAGACAGACGCATTGATACAACGGAGTTATAGAACGATTAGAGTGCCTAAAGGGGGAAGACCGGGAGAAGCTTACGCACTGCTGCTGTAGCCTCATCAGTCATCCAAACAAACATCGAGAAAAAAAGGTCGTTTCAACTGATCTACGAGGGATGAACTTGTCTAACTGTAAATAGGAAATATGCTGAAGACAACCAAATGGAATAAACGGAAGCAGAAACGTGATGAAACGTAGCGAGAAGATGACACATGCGGAGGATGGGAAAATCCCAAACGAGCATTAGGAAGCTGTTGACTGAGTTTACAGGAAATACGAAAGTGAGATGCAGAGATTTACAACGTGTGCGAACATACGACCAAGGGGAAAGAAAACTTCTCGGGAACCAAAAGAGGCCGTATGAAATCGTCAAAAGGGCGAAACCTGATCTATACAATTGCTCAGCAGGAAGATGCACAGCGAATGAAAATAGTGAAGGGATAGGGGTGTAAGTAATAAAAACAACAAGAAGGTCAGAAACACTTCGTGAGAGGCAAGGGTTAGGAACACTTCGGAGGGGAAGAAGTATGGTGTGTTAAACGTGGGTGCAACAACGCTAGAAGACAGTAGTAGGGAAGGAATCGGCAAAAAGAACCGTTGTTAAGGGAGCTAGTGCCCTGGAAACCAGTTCTTACTAAATCAGCCCGGACAAGCTAGGTCGTACGTCGCCTGAAGCTAATTGGCTAACCAATGAGGGTACGCCAAAGGTATAGTGTTACTTTAAAGTGGACCAACGAGAATGATCTACCTTGAAGCCCTCCATAAGGCGAACTAGTTGAGGAGCCAACAAGTGGGATTTCGAGCATCTAGTACTTGCTGAAATTTAGTAGCGTTCACTTAGAACATTCTCTTATGAACCATGTCGTTTGACCCCATGTTTTTGTTGCATATACTGTCTCACGGATGCTCTATACAACTTCCGCCACGGGCCTTCGTCTTTTGGTTTTGAGAAGTGGCTGAACCGTGACCCGAGTGGCTGCATCGGTTATCCGTACTGTCAGCGGAAACACAAAAGCAGCAGTGGGTCAGAAGTGCACCAAGCAACAGTCCTAACATAAAGGGAACGTCAGAAGACCGAAGATACGCATGCGTGAGGAAAAAACGTAGAAACAGTGTTCGATGAAGGATTCCAACAAGAAGACACCATGCAACGTCAAGAAAGGTTCTCGAATGAATGGAGCCGTGGGTGGTCCGAACAAATACACATGACGGACGCTTGTTGCCACAATCAACAGTTCTTCGCAGCGCCCGGCATATGAAAGACGCTGTTTAGGATTATCACGAGTGTTTTGGAATTAATGATCAGGTAGAGCCGTCTTTCGTACTTCGTTCAGGCTAATGGAAACTACAGAAATTCACCCAATACTCAGGCGCCTTAACCTCAACGGACAACCGACTTCGAACGCCATCTGCACAGCGGTTGATGGCGATTCGAGTTTGCATTAAGTTCGCCTACCTCATACGACGGTGATGACTGATGCCTTGACTCATATTGATGCCGCTGCTTCGCAGACCGAGAAAACAGTTGACAAGAAAGCATGGTGGAAGATGAGATTGCGGGAAATATGTGTGGAGTTAGTTGTCAGCAGAACTAACGGATAAGCAGACAGGTTATCAGAATGAATACATTTGATTGCACAGACAGACACACAGACAGGAAGATTCCAGAGGCTAATGCAGGGGAGCTAAAAAATACGCGAGGTTAATTCACTTCAGTGTAAACCAGCTGGCATGAGAAATAGAAACATTCAGCTTCACCGTGAAAACAAAGCAATATCGATTCGGAGGAAAACGAGTGAAACCAACGACGACGGCACAACACAAGTGGCGCTTTCTGCCACAAACTCACTCAAATGAACAGAATCGACATGCTTTTGCAAATTGCCCTTGATAGGAAACGATTTACCACAGCGGTCACACGCATGGGGGCGTTGTTCTGCGTTAGGGAACAGAAAGCGAATAATCAAAGATAAGTGACACAGGATAATAAACAGATCATGGTCAAAAATCTGTTAGAGTTAGAAGCAATCGCTCGTGACGAATATGGTGCTGTACAATTGCTGGCCGAATCTGCTAAGACGGTGGTTTAACGCTGATATGGATCACAAGCTTTTGGAAAGGGCTGGGTACACCAAAGAGTCCAGAAGGAAGTTAGTGCGATGAGTAATGCGCCAAGAGGAAATTGAAATCACAGCGCCACCAATGACAACACTTGAAAGCGGAATGTCAGGGAGCCCATCAACTAGCACCGCATATCACTGGATCCGAACGACGGGTCGATTGACGTAATGTGAGTGTTCTCTTAGCCAGATGGGTCAACCAATGCATATTGATGATGAATGGTGAGCACAATAAACCATACCGTAAAGAAATGTGACAAAACACGGAATCACGAAGGCTACATTAACAGACCAGGGTCCGTGTTTCGGAGGCTATCCGTACTAGATGCCATCATCCGAGCCGGTGGTCGAAAGGATTACATGCCTGCTTTGTAACCCGGAAATCACTGATTCGGATCCACGTACGTGTAGGCGGCCTCATGCGTGACCGGCTATGGGAAGGTGGCAGTGAAGCGCACTGCTGACGCCCTTTCGGAAACAGTTGTTAACAAGAAGACGCCAAACAACGTAGTATCACCCAGAAACAAACGGCTTGACTCAGTGGAACAAAAGAACGAATAAACAGTAGCTGGCGGTTAAGAAAGGAGAGTGGGTGCTAGCTTCTCTACTGGGATCGTTGCCTCCTCAGCCGTTTAAACAAGCATCAACAAGGAAGTCGCCATTCCAGCTGATCAACGATGAACGACAATAACTACTCGTGAAACTAGATGCAATATGATCAACCTACTCGATATGAAAACACTAAGCAATTGGCCGTATATGATCAGCGTTGCTCCTGGGTATTGCTCGCAATTTGTGTGAATGGTAGGTGACTAATGCTGAGATCCGAATGTTGGTTTCTGTCAAGACACATCCTGGTGCATCACTAGAGTGTCTGTGAAAGTTGAGGTGCTGAAGCTTACATTAGCCGGATAAAGTACTCCGCATGCGCATTGCTAGAATTCCTTGGCATGCATCATACGCTGGCGCTGCACCCAGTTGGCTGGGATCTCGACGCGGCCAGTGGATGAAACGTCATAACGGCATGCGGAAATTGATCGAGAAACGGGTGGGCTGTTACTTAGTGTACTCCTCCATGGTGAGGGCAATGGATGTTAACGTGGTGCGACAGTTTGCTCCATTGAGCTAGGCCAGGTGGTACTTTTTGCACTTTCAGGTTGGTCAATGGTTAGAAGCCAGACCAACAGTCTCCTGACCCTAAGGAGTGGCTCTTTACTCCACAAAACTGACTCTACAGTTAATGCCAAGACCTGATACCTTGCAGTTAGGATTTTGAAGCAGATATTGGATGAGAACCCTAATCGTCCGCAAGTTTAGACCTGGATAACCTGACCGTACACCTTACACGCAATACAATAACCTTTCATTACACAATTTCTTGATGCTCTGGCCGTCGCAGACGATATTCAACGACCCCAGCTTTGCTACATCAAGCAGGGTGGATAGGGGCGAGGAGGATACTGCTCATGCATTCCCGTCTTTTTATTCCCCCACTTGTACTTATACATCCTTATCGTCCCGCTCAAACTTCACATTTATCCACCCGAGTATCAACTTTCGAAACTTAGCCCTCCGTCACCCTGCTTTGAGAGGCGTTTGTCTTTTGGTTTCAGCTCATATGCACTCGCAGGGTATCACTCTGGTCTAGTCGACAAGCCTATATCCAAGCAAGCGGACGTCAGCCCATTTATCGCCCTTCGTAATCATCGGCCATCGTTAAAACTAGCAACACTAAAGGTGCGCACTTGGTTGCAGATCGGCCAACAGGCAGTAATTGCAAAACACTACACGAGTTTCCGATTGATTGCATCCATAGTGCGACTGAAATGCTCCCTAAGGATCTAATTTGCATCCGTAAGCCAGTTAAACATAAGCCTTAAAAAGTAACATCCCAATGGTCCAGGGTTCGATGTCTGCTAACTCTATCTAATGAGATGAAATAGTATTGAAACCTGTCATAAGAGTGCAGTGTTTTCTGGCGGGTAATCCCCAATTTCTATCTGCTACAGCTACGGTCCTCGTGACCGAAAGACCAAGGTTCACTTCATTGGGAATCGCAGTCAACCTGAGATTGCGTGTCGCAATCCATCTACACAACGTGTACTTCAAATTCACTTTCCAATCTGTTATTTGCCGTTGTGCCAAGCTTTGCCCGTCGTGACCCGGTGGCTTAGGGGTAGAGGTCACAACTAACATCCCAATGGTCCCGGGTTCGATGCCTGCTATCTCTATCTGATGAGAGGAAATAACCTCGAAACGCGTCATGGAGTGCAGTGGTTTCAGGCGGGCAACACCCAATTTGCTGCTGCTTCATCAGCTACGGTCCTAGTGATCGAATGGCCAAGGTTCACTTCAGTGGGAATCGCGGTCGACATTGAGATTGCGTGTCGCAATCCATCCACACAATGTGTACTTCAAATTGCCTTTCCAATCTGCCATTAACCGTTGTGCCAAGCTTTGCCCGTCGTGACCCGGTGGCTTAGGGGTGGCGGTCACAACTAACATCCCAATGGTCCCGGGTTCGATGCCTGCTATCTCTATCTGATGAGAGGAAATAACCTCGAAACGCGTCATGGAGTGCAGTGGTTTCAGGCGGGCAACACCCAATTTGCTGCTGCTTCATCAGCTACGGTCCTAGTGATCGAATGGCCAAGGTTCACTTCAATGGGAATCGCGGTCTACTTTGAGATTGCGCGCCGCAATCCATCCACACAACGTGTACTTCAAATTGCCTTTCCAATCTGCCATTAACCGTTGTGCCAAACTTTGCCCGTCGTGACCCGGTGGCTTAGGGGTGGCGGTCACAACTAACATCCCAATGGTCCCGGGTTCGATGCCTGCTATCTCTATCTGATGAGAGGAAATAACCTCGAAACGCGTCATGGAGTGCAGTGGTTTCAGGCGGGCAACACCCAATTTGCTGCTGCTTCATCAGCTACGGTCCTAGTGATCGAATGGCCAAGGTTCACTTCAATGGGAATCGCGGTCTACTTTGAGATTGCGCGCCGCAATCCATCCACACAACGTGTACTTCAAAATGACCCTCAATAGCAAGCATTAACCGTTGTTCTGGAAGCGAACAGAACGAAGATCACAAAGACCTGGGAGCAAAAGTGAGTACTGTCATAAAGAGTGACCGCGAAGCCGCTGTCCTTGGTAACCATCAGAAGTAACGACGTCTGATGCGAGGAACGGGCAGCAAGAGAAATGGTGTTAACGAAACTATATGCGACAAGGGTGGCCAGCACATGCACAACCTTCCAAAATGTTGGGAGGTTTGAGCTGAGCGATGAGAATTATCAGCTTTATCGTCGGCCAGTGATAACTTGCTTTCTGGTTCGTCTCTCTGGATTCATCCTCTTGCGCAGAAGTCGAACGTAAGATCAAGTTGTTAAAATTGGATAAGGCAGCGAGACCAGTGAAACTGTAGGAGCAGGAAACCGTCCCTAACTGCGGCATCTTCAAGGGGAGCACACGATTCGGATGCGGCCACTAAAGAGAGATCGGTCTGATCTCAACTGCCTCTAGGTTATTTGCCTCTGTCGTTAATCACAGAATGACTGGCGCCTGTGAAAGCCAGATACGTGAAGAATGGGCCGAAGTTTAGTTGAAGTCCAGACTGCTGACCGTACGGACAACCCTATGCCACTGCGCAAGCTGCACCGGCCAAATTCCCAGGTCAGAAGACAAAGACCTCTGGCAAAAACATATTGGACACTTGGCAAGCAGTATATACAAGCGAATAACGGGGTCAACTAAATACCGTATATTATCAAATATAATTCCATCCATGGATAGGCCGACAGTATGAATTAGCTACCTCAAATTTGTCCCAAGTCGTAAGTCCGTACATTAGCCGACCCCCATGAAAGCTAACAATAAGTGCTTTTCTGTCGTCTTTTTCCATGTTAATGAGTGTGATGTTGTTTTAATCTGCATATTCCCGTATGTTTCTATTACTGTCATCCGTCGCAAAAGTCAGCTGTGCAATGTACTGGGAATTTTCGTCACAAAACAGTGTATAGTTATAGGCGCGCTGTCCGCAGTGCAGCGTAGATACCGTATGAAAAAATGAAGCATTTAAAATCCCCGTCTGGAATACCGTCCGTCACTAGCGGTTGCTGCTATAGGGAGATGGGGGCAGAGGTGCGCAGTCAATTCCAGGGTGGATTTTCCATGCGACCTTTTTCAAATTGCGCACAACCTTTTTATAAGCCGACCTCCCAACTACAGAAATGAAAAAGTGTTAAAAAATCATCGGTTTACATTCGGTAATATATGATAGCTCATAGGAGAACGACCTAGCTGAAAGTTCCTGAAATTCCGCAACTACTAGACCCATGCACTTGTTGGTTGCCGAAATAATACGCTCAATGGCGGGCACCAGAGAAGATAGGATCCATTGGTACCACTCAAGGTGAAACTTACACCTTAGTTCACGATCACTAGCTGGTCAATGAGCTTCATGTGTCACGATCAAACTGTTCCGGGCTACTAGCGAGGGGACTGGCTCCGAAGACTGTGATTGGCAGGCATACATAACATCACCTTACTTCAGCTTTTGGAGCGCCGTCGCATATACTGGCGATCATTCGTAGTCTTGGCTCTGGACAATAAAGCTGTCCTTGATTAGGTACATTATTGTGCTCTCTGGAACCGCCAGTAAGAACAGAAAGATAACAGCAGCAAGCCGGCAAATCGTGTCAACACCTCGGTGCCACGGGAACACCAACGATTGAGCGTGGGTTAGGTATACCGCGATGTTGCCCGCAACTAAGCGGATTCTAACAGGTGACCTCGGATAGGCTTGCGATAATTTTCGCCCCTTGCAGGTCAGGAAAAGTTGTCCCAGTAAATCGCAAAAGAAGAATTATTGAGAGTGCTGAATGTTATAAGTAGATTCTTCAAACCTAGACTCAGTGAGACAAGCAGTACAGGCTTGGAAAAGTACTGTACAGCTGTTTCGCCCTCTGGGGGATCGTCAGCAGCACACATTCTAGCTGGCCCTTGTGGAGCTAAAACCCGCCATTCGACTGTTACCCGTCCGTGGTGAAGACCCCCTGGGCTACGGGGGACGGTAAAGAGCACCGTGACTAAATTACTGGGTGTGACTTATCTTCTAAACATGTTTAAACTTAAATAACTGTATTGTGCAAAGCCCTATCTTACGATAGCCAAAGCACAGATAACTGAATCCCAACTCATTGGTCTGATTATTACAAGAAAAAACGCAAGCGGTACGCTTAAAATGGACAATTGTTTTCGATTTATTCATTATAAGGCTTGTCACAGAAATATTCAATGAGAAGAGTAGTAGTAACTATGGATTGAACAAAAATTTAAATGGTTAACGTGTGTCATGTGGTCAAGTGACACCACTGAGTGGGGTCCGATCCATCTCAGTAGTTGGCCAGGGCAATTGCAATGCTTAGACATGCTTCCTCTGGATGTGTAGACTAGATTTTGTCAATCTGATGCATACCGCTTCAGTGGTAGCAAGCAGCCTTGCTCCTGACTGATGGTGCAGCTGCGATGACACTCGATACAGGATCTCAAATGACTTGCGCTTATCGATTAGATGACCGATGCAGATAAGATGGTTAGTTATTGCACTCAACTTAGTTTTGTCCAGATGAGCGACGAGCGACTTCAATCTGTGGCGCCCACACCAATAGGCTGGCCATTAGTGCTTCCTATCCTCTTCCTAATCAAACCCAACAAATTCATGAAATAAACACTGAGCCAGAAGAAGCCGTTAGTTACAAACAACTTTTGATGCATAATAGTACAAGTCCCGTGTATTATTGGAAGAAAGTAAAGACTAACGGTGCGTGTAATGTAAAACTCACTCAGGTGAACAGCTTCTATGTGTGCCCGAAGGCGACACATTGGGACAAATGACTTTCCACAATATTCGCATGTGTGATCTCGTTGCGCTGAGAACGAAAACAGCACGTTTGCAGTCATGTATAATATCGAGAAATGAACTATTTTAGGGCGCAAAATCAATGGAAAGTGGTCCTTGGATGATGTTAAAAACACAGACCTACGTTTTGCACCTGACGAGCTACAAACAGAGCTTAACGGTCGCTAGCCATCTCGCATACACCCCCGCTCGTAGAAAGTTTTAAACTCAACTGTATCGCATTAAGGCAGTAATTGGGAACTAACTTACGCCTACGATTTGGCACGTTACTGAACGTGTTTACTCCCTAAACTAAATGCTTGGCAAACTCCTGGACTACTTATAGAGATGGACAGTTGAGTTTATCAATGTACAGTAAGGAAACGCAGAGCAACAGAATGATCGAATTGCGAAACCGAGTCAACAGTGATCATAGGTGACTGGAAGGTCACGATTGGAATCAGAACACAGTGGTCTCAAGTGATAAGTCCGATTAATGATACAGGTGCAACAATAGGGATAAAAAGGTTAGTCCAAGTGGAACATTAATCAGATAAGTGTGTGACGAAAACAATAAAATGTTGGCGGACTAAAGCTAGCATAGCTAATGTAGACGTTCTCTATTGCCGGCTGAGATGAAGAACGTGATATTCGACTTTTCAGAGAACTTGGTAGACGACCGGTTAATATATTTATGGTGTATCACCATACATATATTAACCGGTCGTCTACCAAGTTTCCTGAAATGATGATTTCCCGATCGGTTCCAAATATGTTCCGAGATATCGAGTGCAGATACGGACCTCGTGTTCGCAAAGTGGAAAGTGAATTTGTGCGCCTAGCAGACATCGAAGCCAATTGGAAAAATCATCGGATTTTTAACATCAGGTGTCTCAAGAACAACATTATGCCCAAATGCCTCACAGTTAAACCTCCGGATTCTTCGTACACCTAGGCACGAATAGCACTCAGAGCAGGCAAAGCATTTCTGAGACAAAGAATCTAACTAACAACTAGACGTCTGGGTGAAATCCGTCTCCATGCGAGTCAGCTGCGCTTGGATTTACAGACTGCGGTGGCACGGACTGATTATGACAGACTTTGCAATAAGGCGTCCGAAGTTAAGGCGGCAAGTGGACGGGAGTCGAAGGAAAGGCAAATACGTAAGTTCGAACACTTGGTGACTGCACATAATAAGGTCGATAGTCGTACTGATAAGCATGTATCTAGTAGCAACTATTGTAGAGTTGTTAACATGTCAGATAGGGCGTTAAGTATAAAAGAGCGTAGAGTTTTAGAAAAAGGTCTGGATTTTTCTATCAGTAAATCTAAACTAAAGGCAGAAGATGTAATTCCTGGAGTTGAACCTGTTATGACTAGATTAAAACTTGAAAAGGCAGAGGACATCCGCACCCAATTAGCAAATAGACTTAGATTTCAACAGCCGGTAGAATCGAATCTTGCTCCAGCTGTACACATAGCGTTAAAGACCCTGAAAGAGGATACTAGTACTGTCCTTACAGGGGCGTATAAAGTTAAACTAACAGTGGTAATGAATAAAACAGATTATTTAGAAAACATGAAGGAGCATTTGACCACGGGACCATACAAAGTGGTTGTGCAGATCATTACATTGGTAATGAATAAGAATAAATCAAATGTCGGTAGTTACCTAAGGACAGTTTAGGAAAGGCCAAATGGTACAGCATTTATCCGAAGTCGGCTATTCCACCTAGAATTTACGGTCTCCCAAAGATACACAAGCCCAAAGTCCGCTTGTGACCTATAGTGGATGGCATAGGTTCTCCCACACATGAACTCGCGAAATATCTGGTGAGCCTGCTGCAACCCCTGACAGGGAGAACGAGCACATTTGTAAAAAAAACTCTTATGAGTTTGCACGAATGGTGCGAGGGGTGAGCATCGAACAAGACGAATTGATGGTCAGCTTCGATGTTACCTCCTTGTTCACGAATGTACCCAAGGAGGAGGTGTTACGATTAGCGAGGTGCTTGATTGGGTACAGCAGCTTAGAGGATAGAACAAAGCTGATAGTGGATCAACTGACCGACGGGATACCTTTGTGTCTCGACATGACTTATTTCACATTCCAGTCTAGAATGTACACTCAAGAACAGGGTCTGGCCATAGGATCTCCAATATCCCCGTACTAGGCAATATGTACATGGAAGAGTTTGAAAAGGCGTTACCAAATTTCCGTGGTGCCCCGAAAGTATGGTGGTGTTACGTGGATGACACTTTTGCGATTATAAAAAGAGATAGAAAAGAGGAATTGTTAAACTATTTGAACTCCATTGGCTATGTGATAAAGTTCACCATGTGTTCGGAAGAAAGTAAGAATTACCTAGGAAATCCACTATTTTAGCGATTAATACGTCATTTTGTCAAGGTCAGTGCCATTCTGTTTTCTCCTTCGGTTAGGCTAAAAGTTTTGTGGAGCAGTGAATTGTTATTTTAGTAATTGCGTCTAGTGAGAAGATTATAACAAATGGCGACGGAGAAAGTTGGAAATGTGATGAATTTTTCTGCTGAACAATTTCCAAACCTGCTTTTCCAACAGCAAGCTCAAATGGAGGCACAAATGAAAATGATCGGAAATCTGACACAATGCTTGAGTTTGCAGACAGCAGAAGCAGCGACGCGGGACATGCAGGCGAGTTCTGTTGATTTTCTCACGAATGCAATCATTGAATTCAATTATGACGCCGATTCTGGATGCATCTTCGAAGCGTGGTTCAAGCGCTGGGAAGACATGTTCCGGACGAACTTCATTCGTCAGGACGACTCCTGGAAGGTGCGATTGCTACTCCGAAAGCTCGGAATAAGTGAACATTCAAGGTTCATAGACCACATTCTGCCCAAACAGCTGAAGGATCTGACGTTTGACGAAGTAGTGTCGCAGCTGAAACAAATTTTTGGTGAGTCGGTATCCTTGTTTAGTATTCGCTATCAATGCCTGAAAATTGTCAAACAGGAATCGGACGACTTTGGGGCCCTAGCAGACATGATTAACCGTGTGTGTGAACGTTTCAAACTACGCACTTTGACGGACGATCAGTTTAAGTGTCTCATTTTCGTCAGCGCTCTACAATCCCCCAGTGATGCTGAGATTCGCACGCGGCTTTTAGCTAAGCTGGAGCAGGATCCTGATCTGACACTGAAGGCCCTCGTAAGCGAATGCAAACGGCTGCTCACTCTAAAACACGACACTGCGATGGCCGAACGAAATGGTCTCGCACCACCAGATATCGTGCAACTCGTGAAAAAGGCCAGGACCGTCAACCGAAGCAAACCCTTCAAGAGGTCTACGAACAAACCGCCCACAGCATGTCGGTCATGCGGGGAATGGCACTTCGCGCGCTTTTGTCCCTTCAAACATCATATTTGTCGAACGCGCATAAAGTGGAATGCTGCAGTCAGGTCTGGTCGAAGAAAGTGCAGAAGTCTTATCGAAAGGGGAATTCTAGAAAGGATGGCGCCGAGTCTCTGTCCATAGTTGCCGCATTCCAAAGCGAGTGTAAACCGAGACGACGATTTATCACTGTGTTAATCAATGGGATCCCAACAAAACTGCAATTTGACACGGCCTCGGACATCACGATTATTTCCAGGAGCACATGGAAACACATAAAGAGGCCGAAGATGGTCGAGTCTCAGAAAGTTGCACATAATGCATCCGGCGGTGTGTTAAACTTAGTGGGCGAACTTACTTGCAAGATTGCTTTCAAAGGTGTGGAAAAGTCGGGAACATGTTACATTTCAGATCGGCCGAATTTGAATCTTCTTGGCCTAGACTGGATTGAAAGATTGCAACTCCTAAATATTCCCTTGAATCAGATCTGCAACCGAGTTCGAGCAAGTCCAGACCCACCATCAAAGTCCGTCGAAGACATGACACATAAGCTGAAGCGAAAATGTGCCTTTGTCTTTCAGGATGGCTTGGGCCATTGTACGAAATTCAAGGCAACGCTGAACTTGCGACCAGGTGCTAAACCAGTGTTCAAGGCTAAAAGACCGGTACCATATGCAGCCATGTCAACCGTTGATCAAGAACTCGATCGACTGGAACGTGCCGGAGTCATCACAGCAGTCAACTACTCATCATGGGCCGCACCTATTATCGCAGTGAAGAAAGCAAATGGCAAGGTACGCGTTTGCGCTGACTTCTCAACCGGCCTCAACGCCGCGCTGGACGACCGCCAGTACCCATTACCTGTACCGGAAGATATCTTTGCAAAGCTGAATGGTGGTAAGTACTTTGCTAAGCTTGATCTATCCGATGCTTATCTTCAAGTGGATGTTGACGAAGTCTCGAGGGAGTTGTTGACGATCAACACTCATCGTGGCCTATTCCAATACAACCGTTTGCCATTTGGAGTAAAAACGGCGCCAGCCATCTTCCAACAGTTGCAGAATACCATGCTAGCGGGAGTTTCTGGAATCGCTGTATATCTCGATGATATCATAGTGATGCGTCGAACACCAGAAGAACTATTTAACCGCCTGGATGAAGTGCTTGGTTGTATACAGTCGTACGGTTTCCGGATCCGTGAAGATAAATGCACATATTGCACGCCGCTCATCAAATACCTCGATTTTGTCCTCGAAAAGGATGGACGTCGACCAGATCCGGAAAACATAGAAGCCATTAGAAAAATGCCTCCACCAACAGACCTACAGTCCTTGCGTTCCTTTTGTAGGCTCACCAGCCACTACAGCGCATGCTTGCCTGAGATGCACCGCCGCGTGCCCCGTTAAACAAGCTACTAGCCAAAGGCCAACCTTGGAACTGGGCATCAGAATGCCAGAATGCCTTCGAACTGGTCAAGACATTGCTGTTCTCATACTTGCTTTTGACTCATTTTGATCCCTCCAGAGAGATTGTCCTAACCACAGATGCATCAAGCCATGGGATTGCGCAGTAATTTCACCCACGTACACCGATGGATCTCAGAAAGCAATCGCCCATGCCGCCAGAAAACTTACGAAAGCCGAGAGGAACTACAGCCAGATTCAGAAAGAAGCATTGGTCATAGTGTACGCGGTCAAGTAATTACACAAAATGCTATACGGCCGCCGCTTCAAGTGGTTATAACAGGCTGTTGTGGCGCTTTCGCTTTCTAAGAGCAAAATTGAGCATTGGAAAGCCCGCTTCTCCATAGCAGCAGTAAATAACCAAGTAATCGCTGTTTTCAGAACAAGAGTCAGCGAACAAGCTCGTTATCGGTGGATCTCGACAGGCTGGTACACCACAACCGATACGAATAAAATGAGGTAAAACATCAGACACATCAGTAATACTCCGGCACACCGTACCGATGCTAAGCTGCCAAGCGACCAATACCAGTCGCGCAAGGTCTGAGTATACCACGTCTTCAACACCTACGGGGACTCGAACTCGCGAAAAGAGGATTACAACGCAAACGCACAATCCTTTCGGTCAACGGCCGAGTCGGTTAAAAGTACTTACCTGTGTGTACTGCCGACCATATTCAACGTAATTTCAGGATATGGAGTCAAGTAGGTGGCATATATAGGTTAGACATACGCTGATACATTCATCAAGATCCCGGTAGTACAATCAATGGACCGCGCGGGATGTGGCGAGCCGATGTGTGTAACAAAAGACCATCAGAGCCTAGCGTGCGAAATAAAGGCGCTGAGCGATTCGCTTCCTTTTACTGCACAATCAAGGAAGCGGTAAAAATGCTCATTGTTCGTGCAGCTTTCCCAACAAAAAGAAGCAAAAGATGTAAGTGAATTCTCAGCAAGTACCGTTGGGAAAGGAATACGCAGACACTCAGTGATCCCAGTGGTGTGCGGTGCGCTAAAAAACTGCGCTCGTTGAAACAACGAAAGCTATAGCATGCTGCGCCAGCAGTTGTTGGACTAACAGCTGGGTACATGTTTTCATTCTTCGCCCCCTATTTTGTACTTAGTACTAATAAAATCTTCCACTACATACACAGGGGTAGTGCAAATGCTTGAAATGTACACATCTGGGTTCATAAAGCTTATTTTGACTTAACTTGACTCGACTTGAAACACGCTAACCGAAACTTGAAAAATTATCTAGTACTCGGACGCCTTAACCTGAGGGGGACATGCGACTTCGAACAGATACTGCACTGCACTTTGAGGGCGATCCAAACTAGCGTCAGGCTCGCTTATTTCATAAGACGTTGGCACTTGATGTTATCTTTCGGAGTGATGTCAATACTTCGCAGAACGAGATTACAGTTGGCAAGAAAGTACCTTAAAATATAACATTGCAATAAATAGATGTAGAGATGGTTAGTAGCAGAACTAATATTTAAGCGGACGCATTGTCAGAGAATGGTTGCATACCTATTAGAATGAAATCAAATAAACCAAAGACAAGGTACCAGAGATGAATATATGGGACCCCTACGGTATACGAGGCTCATCCAATTCACTGCTGACATGAGAAATGGAAACCTTCTTAGAATAGTATTCAGTTTCATTGTGAAAAAATGCAATGTTGATTCAGATAAAACCATTGACATAACACAAGTGGCGCCTTCAGCTACACACTTACCCAAATGAACAGAAACGTTGTGCATTTGCAAACGGCATTTTGTGGGAAACGATTTAGCACAAAGGTCACATGTATAGGGGCGTTTTTCTGGATTGGGGAACAGAGATTGGATAATCAGAGATGAACCACAAAGTGATGATGGTACAGAATTTTACATAACTTATTAGAATGACGTGCCTATGTTGTGATACACAAAGGTCACAATGATGACGGAGGAATCGCAATGTGAAACCTCGACTACTAACTTCCAGTTATCTCGCAACGCGATCGAGCTAAATGAAAAATAGTGTGTGCGAAAGCCGCGAGCAACGACAACTTGGTGCGAGTTTAGCCCACGACGTAAAGGGCCAACATTTTTCTTTGTAACGAGAAGTTCCCTTGTATAAATCTAAACAAAATATCAGAAGACGTAAGCTGTGGGGACACCTACATTGGGCGCAATGACCGAAGTCTAGGCGTCAGGATCGATGAGCACATCCCTAAATGGTTGCGCAAGCGAATGGGATCTCAGACGGCGGAATCGGATGAATCCAGAGGCAGGATAGCTTCGGCAATCACGAGGCATCTACTGAACACTGGCTACCAGGTCAACCCAAGTGACTCATTCACCCTCCTCATACGTAAACAAAGGCCGCATATACTTAAGCTACTTGAAGCCATCGTAAACGATCGCAAGCGACCGCCTCTGTACGTACAGAAACAGTTGACAGTGACACTGAACTTGACGTGGTAGTGCCGCAGTAATAGTTAGCCATCAGCTAACCACCAAGCGACCGCATCCGATCTTGCTTGTTTTCAAATTGTTAGTTGCCTTGTACGCGACTGGAGATAGGCACAAAATGACCGAATCATCTCACAGCTTATGTCTTCTGATATTTCTGTTTAGATTTTGCTCCGTACCTATGACTCAAAATGTATAAGAAAGAACGAGGTCTTCATGGAATCATACCAGCATTCAGTAAAAAGCGTAACCGGTGCAACCGAGCACAGGTAACCCAAATGCTGGCATGACCAACAGCAGAGCGCGTTCGGGTTGCGTCTAGTCAGTTACCTCATTCGTCTTTCAGATCATTCTGGGTACCTACCATGAGTGCATCCATCGGTGGCAGTATATCAGTGCACAGCCTGTCAAAACGCGTGGAGCGTTGGGCCGAACACTTTGCAAGGCAATTTAACCAACCTGAGTTATCGGTTTCTTTTTCTGGCAATGAGCACACTTCTCCCTAAGCCGTCTTCTTGGATTCGAATTCACGTGCAGAAGTCGAACGTGAGATCAGACCGTTGAAATTGTATAAGACCGCAGAGAAAGATAGAATTCCCTCAATCCTCTTCAAATTCGGGGGATTTGCTCTAATAGATGATTTACATGAGTTGCTAGTTAAACTTTGGGAGCAGGAGACTGTCCTGACAGACTGGAGCCATTCCGTGACTGTCCCAATTTTCAAGGGAAACTCCCGTTTGGAATGCGGGATCAGTCTGATTTCGATTGCCTCTAAATTGCTTGCCTCTGTCATTCTCCACAGACTGAGTGGCACTCGTGAAATTCAGATTGGTGAAGAGCAAGCATGATTTCGTCGAGGTAGTGGCTACATCGATCAAATCTTTACCTTGCCGCAATTGTTGGAGCACCGCCATGTTTATTGGCGACCCACCGTTCTCGTGTTTCTTGACATAAAAGGTGCCTTCGACTCAGTCAATCGAGGTGCGCTTTGGAACTGTCTGCTGAGAAAAGGTTTGCCTGATAAATATGTAAACATTATCAAAGTGCTGCATGCGCATAGTTCGGGCAGAGTGAGGGTTTATGGCAAACTGTCACCACCCTTCAGTATCACCAGCGATGTAAGACAAGGTTGCCCGCTGTCATCTTTCCACTTTAACTTCGTTATTGATGAAGTCATGGAAACAGCGTTTGCTGGACACGACCTAGAAAGTGTGGAGCTACTTCCTGGTGAGCGAATTCTTGTCTTAGAGCACGCGGACGATATTGCCTTAATCTGTGACAGCTCCCAAAGATGCGAAGCAGCATTGAACCGACTAGCACTGAGTCACTATCACTTTGGGCTGTACTTTGCTCCATCGAAATGCAAAGTACTTCTCAAAGATTCCCAGGGACCCACGGCTACGGTAACACTTGGTGGTGATCAGGAATTCACGTACCTCGGAAGCTATGTTAACGCCCGTGCGATCAACGATGAGGTTACAAACCGTATAGCAAAAGCTCGAGGGGCTTTTGCCAATCTCCGCCACCTGCGGAGCAGACGCGACATTAGTCGCGCCCTGAAGGGCAGAGTTTACAACGCAGCCGTCCGTTCAACTCTCCTATACGGTTGTGAAACTTGGCCCATCAGGTCGACAGGCATTAAAGAGGCTAGTCACATTCGATCATTACTGCCTTTGCAGCTTAGCTCATGTCTGATGGGAGCAGCGCATAAGCAATGAGCGTGTTCGGCGTCGCGTATTTGGTGCAGGAAGAGCGAGTGAACCGCTCAGCACCATTATATCACGCAGCAGGCTCCGATGGCTGGGCCACGTGTTGCGTATGCCAGCACACCGACTTCCGCGACGTGCATTGTTTGCGCGCAGGGGGTGCGGTTAGAAGAGGAGGAGAGGCCAAGTGATCACTTGGTCCAGAGAGATGAAAACCTCCCTTGGAAGTTGGCGTCGGTTGGTGCATCCCGACTGTCTGGCTGAATTCCTAAGTACGATGAACACGTTTGGTTGGATAAGCTTGCTAATATGGCTAGGAGCCTGCCCCAATAGTGTTTGTGTTGTGTTCCTTGGTCCACCCCCTACTGCTTAGCTACCCCTTCCAATCACGATCGCATTCGTTAGGCATAACATAACTTTTTGCGGCACGATAGACGGCTGTTAGATCTCCGGAACGATGTCCATCCGGTACTGGGGACTCAGCCGGCGTGGTACTGCCTTTTCTTGTCTTTTGTATTGCGGCACAATAGTTGAGGTGTTTTCCACCTGCAGCTAACGTGTAGAATAATGATGATGAGTATATCAGTCCAAATAGCAAATATGAACTAAACAAACACTATTAACCCCATGCTATATCGGGCGTCACGCAGTGATGGGAAAGGATCGCATTATTTACAGCATAATGCTAGGTGGATGAGAAAAAATATACTACCACTATCGCCCTCTCTTCTTCCTTTTGCAATCCACTTTCTATAATGCCAGTCTCCATTTCACCTAACACAATATTTCCTCCACCCCAACTCATACCTCGAAAGGTTGACCGGCGCAACCGTATATCTTCGATGAAAGCGCTAAACTTCGGAGGTTATGACAATCGCACATCGCCCGATCGGAATAAGAACGAGCGTACCGACTGACCCACTGCGTTGGTCGCAATGGAACCCGGTCGCTACGGCACTGATGTTGTCTCACACAGTGAGACTGGTTAGGATGACCACAGCAAAATGCACGAAGATGGTGCCGGCTTGACGTTCCACTGAGTGAATAACGCCAATGCAGGACCACGTTGCATGATTTCCGATTAGAACTATTCGACCACCCGGCGGAAGAGCCTTCTAGCATTGGTACAGGATTGGTGACGCTTCCGTCTACACCGTTTGTGCCAAGCGTTGCTCGTGGAGAACCAGAGCCTAAAGGGGTAGAGGTCACAACAACCATCCCAAAGGTCCGGGATTCAATGCCTACGATCTCCAGCTGAGGAGATCAAGACAGTATTTTTCAGTCATGAGAAGAAGGGGACTCGCGGACTTCGCAAATTAAGGTTGCTGATGAAGTATCGGTCGTTTCATAGAAATGCACATGACAGATGCTTGTTGCCACAATCAACAGTCCTTCCCAGTGTCTGGTTCCTGAGAGACGAGGTTTAGGACCGTCACAAGTAATTTGGAATCAATGATCAGGTAGAAACATCTTTCAAATTTAATCCGGGCTAATCGAAACTAGGGAAATCCAACCAATACTCGGAGGCCTTAAACTAGGCGAATAGGCAACTTCAAAAGTTTCCTGCACTGCGCTTTGATGGCGATTGGAGTTCGCATTCCATTCGCCACCTCATACAACTGATGACTGGTGTTTTGACTTATATTAATGTCGCTGCTTTACAGACCGAGAAAACAGTTGGCGAGGATGCACATTGGAATATGAGATTGCGGGAAATATGTGTGGGGTTGGTTGTCAGCAGAACTAACGGATAAGCAGACGGGTTACTAGAAGGAATTCAACTGATAAAACAGACAAAGGATCCAGAAGCTAATGTACGGGAGTGATAGGATACGCGAGGTGAATTCACCTCGCACTATAAACCAACAGACATGAGAAACATTTTGCACCGTAACATTCAGCTTCATCGTGAAAACAACGCAATATCCATTCGGAGGAAAACAAGTGAAACCAACGATAAAGGCATCGCACAAGTGGCGCGTTCTATCACAAACTCACTCAAATGAACAGCATTGATATGCTGTTGCAAATCGCTGTTGCTAGGAAACGATATACCACAGTGGTCACAGTTATGGGGGCGTTGTTCTGCGTAAGGGAACAGAAAACGAATAGGCAAAAATAAACCACACAGGAGGATAGGCAAAGAACAGTAAAAATACCTTTAAATGTAAATTTATGTCGCGGTACACAAAGGTCATAGTGATCACGGAGGAATCACAACGTGAAAATTGGGATGCCAAGTTCCAGTTCTCTCGCAATGCGAAAGAGATGACTGAAGAATAGTACGTGAGCAGTCTGCTGGCAAAGACGACTTGATGCTAGACTTGCAATGAGGTAAAGTGTCAACATCTTGAAGCAGAGAAATAGTGGGTGTTTCCCGCACAAAAACAGCACGATCTCACCAGTTACCCTCCAAGTGAACGATATGAACAAAATTCAATTCAATGAGAATCGTGCTTCACATTGGGATTGCGAGTCGCAGTCCATTCAAGAAAAGTGCACATCAAAAGAACTCTCAAATGTTACTACATATTGATTTGTCTTCAGAAATCAGTGCATAAGGAAGAAAAATGCCTTCATCAAAGATAAGTGACACAGGATAATAAACAGATCATGGTCAAAAATCTGTTCGAATTAGAAGCAGTCGCTCGTAACGAATCTAGTGCAGTACAATTGCAGACGGAACCTACTAAGACAGCGGCTTAACGCTGATATGGATCACAAGCTTTTGGAACGGACTGGGCACGCCAAGGATGATGCGGTTGAACAATACTGCGCCATTGATGTCTATTGAGCGCCATAACATTCAGCGTTTCCAACTACTAAGAGTCCGAGTCGCGTCGTCCCCATCCTGGAAGGCGTACCGGTCCGACGGATGCTCCTTCTTCACCTCATTGATGGGCTGCATTGCACATATATCCATTAGGGAGAAAGTGATGTCGGACCGACGAAAGTGGGTAGCGAAAGATAGCAAAAACGTCCAGAGCCTTCGACATACGGTTCGTGACCTCATCTTCAAAATTACAGGCGCTGATACGACTGAGAGATACATGAATTTCTGAATGACTTCTATTTGATCCCAACCAAGGGTTAGCGTAGGAGGCGATTCCTGTCCATCTTAGAGGAAAGCTTCGCACTTTGAGGATGCAAAGCAAAGCCCGAAGCGGTTGATAGACAGTGCTATTCTGGCTACTGCTGCTTGGCATCTTTGGGAGCAATGTCGTCGTTCACCTGGGAGTGGCTGGCGACAGCTAGCTTAAAGCACTCACTCTGCTCGAGCTATGCGCCCAAAGCCCCCGGATAGTAATCACATATTTCTAAGGCACACCTTTCCTAAACACACAGTCACAAAGCGCACATCGATTCATCGAATCGAAAGCACACGACAACGGTGGGCCCCCAATATATATGACGGTGCTGCAACCAATGACGAAAAGTGAAGAAGCAGCCCCGGCCTCAATGAAAACCGACTTATTCATTTTACGAAACTGGTTTCATGGGCGTCAGTCAATCTACGAAGGACGACATAGGCAGTTGGAGGTGATGGAGATCAGACTGACTCCCCTATGGCTGCGCATTCTGAATGTGAACATACCTTGAAGATCGAATCGGCTCGTCGTTAGGAAGTTTCCTGCTCCAACAGTTCCACTCGTGGAAATCATGCACACAAGAGTAGGTCCCCGTAGTATGAAGAGGCCATAATGACGATCATCTGATCGCGCTACTTCAGTCAACTTCAGCAGTCAGATCTCACATTCGAGTTCAGAACAAGAAGGTGCATCCAAAGGGACAGGCCAGTGAACAGGGCGATCAATTGCTGATGAAAAATCTGACAATAACGACCAATGAAATTGAATTCCAAAGAGCTCGGCCTAACGCTCCAAGCGTTTTGACAAAAGGTGGACCGGCTATCCACTCTCATTGCATGTTGCTTCACTTACATCAGGTATCATGCTGCCCATTTCCCACATAAGACCAAAGGTTACAAAGAGCAGGGGCCATCTCAATCTCCGACGCACGATGAGACTAGCACGATTCGCGACCTCTTATCAGGCCAGCACGCAACTTTGTCCTGAGGTGGTTCCGAGTAATGTTGTGTTCATTTGCAAACGGAATGTGCCGACAAGTATAGATAAGTTTCAGAGATCACAGATAGACCGAATATCCAGGTTAGCTTTCAGAATTAACACCTGAGGATTTGCCTGTTACTAATAAGGTCCGGTGAACATGAAATCAGTGAGCATTTATTCAACTCGAATGCTAACTTATTTCGATACGCATTCAGAACATCTGGTTTCATCATTTGGATGGCGTCTATGCACTCACAAGGTCGATGGGGCCCGCCAAAACGCACTTGCAAATCAACAGATACAAGTGCATGGTCAGCGTCCACAGAACTACTCCAAATCGAGTGACAGTTTTGGACACAGCCACTCTAGCGGTAACTGATCGCAATGTGATCGATTGGCATCCATGGCTGGTGGGCGCCATGTCACTCTTCTGCGGGTACTGTGCCAGAAGTTAGTGCTCGAGAGAAATAAGCGAGCTTCTCCACACAAATGAAGTAACCGCTCATCATTATCAATAAGTGGGAGACCACACTGTGTTGGTCGCCCAGATGCAGTTTATAAGTGGACAATTTTCCAGCATGAGCGTTCAGATCCCCAGCCCGCACTACAGTGTCCGTGCTTTTGCTGTGACAAAAGAGCTCGTTCGCAGTTGGCGACAGAAGTCATCTTTTACCGAGTCATCGCTACAGTTTGTGGGGGCGTAATCTGCAATGACAAACACGCTGTTTGTCCACGTGCAACTGCGAAGCTTTGACTAAGCCAACCATTCGGATAGCACACATACAGCTACTGATTGGGATCCAACCAACCAGTGCAGTTTCGGACCGGTGACTCAGGGCAATACCCACACCGACTGAATGGGTACTCGAAGCTGCATCGTCTCCTGATAGACGCAACGATAAGAGGAACGTAAAGAGAGTACAGAGCTCGTCTTACAGGCGAATTGCCAAAAAGCAGCATATATCGATCGAGACAGTCGCTAATACTCGGACAAGTGATGGCTGTTGACCAACCTGTAACAATGTGCGTACATTGAGAAATGCCAATCTGGAGGATCGAAGGCTTCAAATCAACATCCTAAGCAGAAGTATATTAGTCATTTGAACGGATGCCTCGCTGCCATACAACCATGATAACCTTTCGAATAAAGAATAATAAGAGGGAGAGAAGGGGAACTTACCTGAAAACCTAAATGCCCTAAGCAAACATTCAGGGTCAAGGCGCTCACATCTTGTGTTAGCAACATACCGTCACAAACAGCTGGCTATCGCGCAAAGATAAGGCGGCATCGGTGAAACAGCTACCTTGCGGCTTTCACTGCCCCGCGTCATAAGCAGCCATTACCCCATGATGTTGTCTCTGAAGTGAAGCTATGTTGTGTCTTGCTTAATATTTACCTAAACCGTATGCTGTCGTGTAATCACACGATTGAAGTTCGGTGTCCGTGTGAGAACGACGATGATGATCGTGGATTGCTGAACATCTGCCGTTTCGGGGTGAGAACCCCAGTATCTGAGACAACCATCTGCGCGTTGCTGTTTGCGGACTGCTGCACTTTGCTCTCACACAGCGAGTATGGGCTGCTGCGCATGTCGACGGCTCTCGTTTCGACCGTGATCAAGTTCGGACTCAATAGCAACACAAGCTAGACTGTATGCCTGTTTCAGCTATCACCAGGTATGGGATTAATGGGTTCGCCCCACATCCATGTTGATGATGCGTCCTGAAGACCATATCATAAGGTTGCTACCTGGATGCGTTACTTCTATTGATCTGCAAGTGACGAACGAGCTGCGCATCCGCGTTTCAAAGACGGATGCCGCATTTAGTAAGCTGACCGTTAGGACGAAGATGTCGGTGTATCAAGCGATCGTACCATCAGATGATTTTTACCGTGGCAAAACAGAGACGCTATACAAGAGAGAGATTTGACATTTCGAGCACTTTCATCAAAAGTACCCATGTTTGATATGTACTATATTTCGTACTGGAGCACAATAACTGAATTGTGTTTCCCACCTCCCACCTCCCGCTAACGTGTAATATTGATGATGACAGAGCGTCAGCGGTAGCATGTTTTCGCTTATCCACCTCGTTTTATGCAGAAGATAAAGTAACCCTTTTCATAATGTCAATGCGTGACAGCCG